TTTTTACCTTCTTTGTTTTTAAAGCCAAAATGCATCCAAGCATCTGACTTGAAATGTGATGGAGCCGCGGGGCGAATTTTCTCAGTCTCCTCCATGTTTTATTTACGAATGACTCGTCGCAGTATCCCGCAGCCAGAAATGCTTGCGACACAAGGCAGCGGGCGTCAACACATCCGCAGCGACACCTGCTGGACTGGAAGCTGTATTCCACTTGATTTGGCTGATGTGCGCCAACCATTCATGTATTTTATTCGTTCATTTTTTTTATTTTTTATAAACGATTCTTGCCTTCAAGAATCGATCCAGTAGATCACAAAAATTAGAATCGCGATGCATCGTCATGACGATTATTTTGCACAACCTTAGATCCAATCGTTCATCCATTCATTAAATTGAGCGAGACAACGAAGAGAGAATTATTTCATGTGGTGTCGACGTAACGTTTGCAGGAAGTACGAAAGAAGGAAGTCTGCATTAGCTTGAGGTCGTTGAACCAGAACTAAAACCTTTTCTCCATCCATGCAGGTGATCCCTCAGTTCTCCATCCTGCCAGACTCCAGTCAGTCCAACGTGGTGGTGGAGCCCAGCGGCTTCCTGGAGATCACCAACTACACCAGCCAGCAGCTGGAGGAGGACAGCCCCATGGAGCAGGAGGTGGACAGTAGCAACGACGAGGCCGCGGCCGCCAGCCCCGCAGGGCAGCCGTAGGCGCTCTGAGGCCGGGACTCTGACATGAGCAAGGCACTTCTTCACTTTGAACCAGCAGACTGATGATCCATTTCAGACTCACACCCAGCAGACCGTTCTTGTTTCTTTCTTTCCTCTGAGCGTGTAAAACATCACTTTGTTAGTCTCCTCTCTCCGCAGCTAATGGCCCATGTGGTTTTTATTGCTGTGAAAGCTGAGGTGAAAGGATTAGCTTTAGCTCAGAACAGCTGGAAAAAGCTCCAGCGTTTTAACGTACTCGCACAACTTTTGTCAAACCTTTCCACGTTTATAACCCAGAAGAGGATTTTCTTTTCTTTTTTTTTGAATATTCGGATCTACTTTGCATCATTTCAGAAACATAAACTGCATCTGCGTTAAAAGCTGTCCATAGTGACTCCTTTGTCATCAGAGAAACTGTATTTTTATCCTGACTGAATAACAACAAACTTTCTGTCACATTTTTGTTTTAAAGATAAAAAAAAAAAAGGGAACATCGCTGGAGCGGATTTATTTCTCTGTGAGACTTTAAGCAGACCCAGAACAGAGAGCTGAAGGCTGGATTCTGTCCAAGATACGCCTCACTTAAACGAGAAGAAATAAACAATGCACCATTGTTTTTTTTTTGTTGTAAGATTGAATAAGTTTAAGAAAAGAAGCTGTTGTCAGGTTTGCATTTGTCTTGGCATCGTTTGTTACAGCTGCATTTTTTTTCTTACTTTTTCAAACTAGAGGACTAGTTGTGAGAAATCATTTAATCTGCACAATAAAGCAGTTGAGTGAAACTTACCAGTTTATCAGTCCCAGCAGATTATTTTTCTTTAAACAGAAAAAGTCAAAACCTGTAAACATATACAGGAATTTCCCTTTCCGTTACTAATACTTAACCACTTAAGCCCAGAGGGTCTTAGCTAGCCTCGTGAGACCATCCTGATCTCGCGAGCTTTCAAGGTTTCACTCGCTAATCAGTCTG